TCCTCTTTACTCTGCATCCTCTTCACTCTACATCCTCTATATATTCTTTACTCTGCATCCTCTTTACTCTACATCCTCTTCACTCTACATCCTCTTCACTCTACATCCTGTTCACTCTATAACCTCTTTACAATACATCCTCTTCACTCTACATCCTCTTCACTCTACATCCTCTGCATCCTCTTCACTCTACATTCTGTTTACTCTACATCCTCTACATCCTCTTCACTCTACATCCTCTGCATCCTCTTTACTCTACATCCTCTTCACTCTATATCCTCTACATCCTCTTCTCTTTACATCCTCTTCACTCTATATCCTCTTTACTCTTCATCCTCTTCACTCTTCATCCTCTACATCCTCTTCACTCTACATCCTCTTCACTCTACATCCTCTTCACTCTACATCCTCTTCACTCTATATCCTCTTTACTCTACATCCTCTACATCCTCTTCACTCTACATCCTCTCTACATCCTCTTTACTCTACATCCTCTACATCCTCTTTATTATAAATCCTCTTCATCCTCTTCACTCTACATCCTCTTTACTCTACATCCTCTTCACTCTACATCCTCTACATCCTCTTCACTCTACATCCTCTTCACTCTACATCCTCTACATCCTCTTTACTCTGCATCCTCTTCACTCTACATCCTCTTTACTCTGCATCCTCTTCACTCTACTTCTTCTACATCCTCTTCACTCTACATCCTCTATATCGTCTTCACTCTACATCGTCTTCACTCTACATCCTCTACATCCTCTTTACTCTGCATCCTCTACATCCTCTTTACTCTACATCCTCTTTACTCTACATCCTCTTCATTCTACATCCTCTACATCCTCTTCATCCTCTTCACTCTACATCCACTTTACTCTACATCCTCTATATCCTCTTCACTCTACATCCTCTTTACTCTACATCCTTTTTACTCTACATCCTCTTCACTCTACATCCTCTTTACTCTACATACTCTACATCCTCTTCACTCTACATCCTCTACATCCTCTTTACTCTGCATCCTCTTCACTCTACATCCTCTATATCCTCTTTACTCTGCATCCTCTTCACTCTACATCCTCTTTACTCTACATCCTCTACATCCTCTTCACTCTACATCCTCTACATCCTCTTCACTCTACATCCTCTACATCCTCTTCACTCTACCTCCTCTACATCCTCTTTACTCTGCATCCTCTTCACTCTACATCCTCTATATCCTCTTTACTCTACATCCTCTTCACTCTACATCCTCTTCACTCTACATCCTCTATATCCTCTTTACTCTACATCCTCTTCACTCTACATCCTCTTCACTCTACATCCCCTACATTCTCTTCACTCTACATCCTCTTTACTCTACATCCTCTACATCCTCTTCACTCTACATCCTCTTTACTCTACATCCTTTTTACTCTACATCCTCTTCACCCTACATCCTCTTTACTCTACATCCTCTTCACTCTACATCCTCTACATCCTCTTTACTCTGCATCCTCTTCACTCTACATCCTCTATATCCTCTTTACTCTGCATCCTCTTCACTCTACATCCTCTTTACTCTACATCCTCTTCACTCTACATCCTCTTCACTCTACATCCTCTACATCCTCTTCACTCTACATCCTCTTCTCTTTACATCCTCTTTACTCTACATCCTCTTCACTGTACATCCTCTTCATCCTCTTCACTCTACATTAAAGTGAGACTTTCCTACCATTACATGATATATCTAGGAAATGAGTTGTTAATGAAGCCTGCAATTGTGCTATGGGAAAATTGATATTTTTCACTTTCACTTCTGATTGGTCAAAAATGAGTGAAAAAATCACAACTTATTTTTACCTGGTAAAATTTTCTTGAATGTGATATAAAATTCCGTCATACGGCTTATCTGGAAGTAAGATTGGGCTCGTATACACGTTTCAGTAAAATACAAATCATAAGGATATCTTATCGACACAGTTTCCATTGATCACATTTTGTTTTGTGGGCACAAGAGTAGAAAGGAAAGAAGAAAATCAATATACAAACAAATACACAGGAAAAATTTGCTGAATATTTCAAATTTTGGTATCCATTGCAAAATGTTGGTATAAATTGTAAATGTTGGTATTAATTGCAAAATGTTGGTATAAATTGCAAAATGTTGATATTAATTGCAAAATGTTGGTATAAAGTGCAAAATATTGGTATTAATTGCAAAATGTTGGTATTAATTGCAAAATGTTGGTATAAGGTATAAATTGTAAATGTTGGTATCAATTGCAAAATGTTGATATTAATTGCAAAATGTTGGTATAAAGTGCAAAATATTGGTATTAATTGCAAAATGTTGGTATTAATTGCAAAATGTTGGTATTAATTGTAAATGTTGGTATCAATTGCAAAATGTTGGTATTAATTGTAAATGTTAGTATTAATTGCAAAATGTTGGTATAAATTGCAAAATATTGGTATTAATTGCAAAATGTTGGTATAAATTGCAAAATATTGGTATTAATTGCAAAATGTTGGTATTAATTGCAAAATGTTGGTATAAATTGCAAAATGTTGGTATAAATTGCAAAATATTGGTATTAATTGCAAAATGTTGGTATAAATTGCAAAATGTTGATATTAATTGCAAAATGTTGATATTAATTGCAAAATGTTGATATTAATTGCAAAATGTTGGTATTAATTGCAAAATGTTGGTATTAATTGCAAAAGGTATAAATTGTAAATGTTGGTATCAATTGCAAAATGTTGACATAAATTGCAAAATGTTGGTAAAAAATGCAAAATATTGGTATAAATTGCAAAATGTTGGTATAAATTGCAAAATATTGGTATTAATTGCAAATGTTGGTATTAATTGCAAAATGTTGGTATTAATTGTAAATGTTGGTATTAATTGTAAATGTTGGTATTAATTGCAAAATGTTGGTATTAATTGTAAATGTTGGTATTAATTGTAAATGTTGGTATAAATTGCAAAATGTTGGTATTAATTGCAAAATGTTGGTATAAATTGCAAAATATTGGTATAAATTGCAAAATGTTGGTATAAATTGCAAAATATTGGTATTAATTGCAAATGTTGGTATTAATTGCAAAATGTTGGTATTAATTGTAAATGTTGGTATTAATTGTAAATGTTGGTATAAATTGCAAAATATTGGTATTAATTGCAAATGTTGGTATTAATTGCAAAATATTGGTATAAATTGCAAATGTTGATATTAATTGCAAAATGTTGGTATTAATTGCAAAATGTTGATATTAATTGCAAAATGTTGGTATTAATTGCAAAATGTTGATATTAATTGCAAAATGTTGATATTAATTGCAAAATGTTGGTATTAATTGTAAATGTTGGTATTAATTGTAAATGTTGGTATTAATTGTAAATGTTGGTATTAATTGCTGAATGTAAGAATAAATAATCCTGCAACAATGATTGAAAATCGGATTATTGAAACTTAAACTGTTTTCTTGTTCAATCTGTGTTTACCTGATGTTGACATTACATTAATTCTGCCTGACAGACGTCAAAGCAATTGCTTTGCATGGAAATATAGTTGTTACAAACTTCATCAGACCAAATTGCTTTTTATGAATTTTCATAGATCAACATGTTCATTACAACTATCTTTTTTTTTAACTTGGAGAGTAATTTTGTCAAATTACCACACATGCTAAAATACAGCTGTTCTCCGTCGATGCCGTATACAGCAAAAATATATGTGGCAGGTGAACTCCGACAATGTTCCAGCATTAACAGGAAAAATGTCAGTGATGCAACATCTTACAGCTGTTTTATACAAAACAACAAAGTTCAATATTAATTGCTTGGTTTATTACTGAACCGAATCTACATTATATAATTTGGCAAACTCAGGGGCTACTCTGTATTGTCCTATTATAAGCTACCATCATAATGAGCCTGTTAGTATTGTACTCTCAGAAGGCCCATGATAGGTGATAAAACCTGAGGATAACCTTGCAGGTGAACTGAGAAAGAAGTTATCAACTAGTTTATAACTCAAATAACAGAAAATCAGCCCAAAGTATGAATTGGGGGTAAAAAATTCAACTCGCCTTGAATTGATAAGGCCAAATCGATTGAAAGCAAGATGATAATCATCATGGTTGAAAGAGAGCCCCCAAGAAGATTTAAGGGCAGGTGAACTCCGACAATGTTCCAGCAATAACGGGAAAAATGTCAGTGATGTAACATCTTACAGCTGTTTCGTCCTTCTAGGACTCTTCAGTGATGCTACATCATACAGCTGTTTCGTCCTTCTAGGACTCGTCAGTGATGCTACATCATACATTCACTTCATCCATCTAGGACTCATCAGTGATGCTACGTCATACAGCTGTTTCGTCCTTCTAGGACTCGTCAGTGATACTACATCATACAGCTGTTTTGTCCTTCTAGGACTCGACTGTGATGCTTAGAGCTGAAATTTTTAATCCTAAGAGCTAGGTAACTGTGGAAAATTCAAAGTGACCAAAAGAAAAGTCAAAATCTAGATGGGGAGGTGGAGTTATTCTTTTAAATCAAAACTTCGCAAAAATTTCAATATGGATATTGATATTGTGTAAGTTACTACAAATTACAACTACTGGTGGTATATGATTCCTAGATACGATATTTTGTTAAAATCTTAAACGGCAAGAAATACCAAAACAAGAGAAAGTTGATCGAAAAATGTTTATTTACAATATAGGTATACTATCGATGACTTACTGAACAATCAATAATTTTTGTGGGCTTTTTCTATTTTTCGCCGAATGTACAGTTACATATAATTAACCAATTTTTAATTCAACTAAATTGCTAAATTGGAAAGATATAGACATAGAATTAAGAAGTAAGTGGAGTGAAAATGAACTTATAAATCAAATGCCATTGAAAATACATATTTTTTAAAGCAACGAAATATGAGTCCAACGAAAATAAATGATTTTACATAAGTATTTTATGTTCAGAATCAATACAACCAAGTTACAAGGGCAATTATATACTCATATCAGTTAATTGTATTGTAAACAATCATTTAAACTGTGATGCAATAATGCAAAGATTGTACTTCGTAAATGCGAAGTTTCGTACTTCATAAATGTGAAGTTTTGTACTTCGTAAATGATTTTTAAAATGTGTTTTTACATATGCAACACATTCATGAAGCGTGAAAGCAAAATGATACATTGACATCATAATCATACATGTTGTGATACAAATCTATCATGATGAAAAAATCTAACCAAGATTGATATTTCAGCTCCAAATATAAATAACAAGTTTTTTGCTATATATTGGATCTTTGCTTGGAGACAGTATGTTGTTATATATTTCCCCTTTAGGCACCGTGCCTTCGGCCCCTATATGTACTAATCATATATTCATATGTTAGCATTGGTCATGATTTCTTCCTGCAAAACATTTTCTTCAGAAAATGAAAGTATTAACAAATGATGGAAGGCAAAAGATGCGAGCGAAGATAACCTGAAAACATCTTGTCAAATTTCATAATATTTGTTATAAGCTTTCATCTAAATGGATGGTCCAATTTTTCTATCACTGCAAAATAGTTTTGGATTTTGTTTTCTATGAAGCAAATACCCATCTAGAAGCAACCTTACACCATCATTTATTTTAGAATTGTTATTTTGTTTTTATTCAATTCTGAACCTTCACTCGTTCTTGTATCAACGATATCAGATATCACATATTAATTTCTAATGGAATGGTTATTAGGACCACCAATAAGATTTTACATTAAAGATGTTAATGATACAATGCCCCAAAGATATTTTATATAAACAGCCACACATCAGTATTGTTACAACATTAGTCTTTCAATCAGTCGTTTAATTTTATCTCCATGTCCTGTAACATTGTCTTTCACAATAAACTTAATAATCATTGAGCTTTTCATCAATATTGCAACTTCTTCTAGCTGTTGTACTGAAGTATCTGTCTTCACTTCTTAGGTAAATATATTGGTGCACAAAGCCAATTTCATTTATAGAATAAATCACTTTCTAAATATAATTTCAGGTTTACATAAAATAAATATGGACTAATAAGGCATCCAGAAATTAGAACAATATATCAACAATGATATATGTCCATAAAGGAAAATCTGCCCAGTTTCAGGCAAAATGTTGCCATGACAACCTGTAAATCATCTAACCATTATTATAAAAGTATATATCACAGATTTCGCTTTTTATAAAACGTTTTTGTGGACTCTGGTTTGTCTTATTCACTCATACTCAGTGACACAAAAAAAAAAAAATGTACAGAATACATCGGTTACTCACATTTATGTAATATAGAAATAACTCACTTCAGAGCTAAACTGGAATTAAATCTACGTAAGTATTAAGCATTGATACATCCGGGTAATCGTGGCACATTTAAAACCTGCACATCTGGTGCCTGTTTAAGTCTTAATCTACATCATCGAGGCTGCTGTAATGTGTCACATGTGGATAACATGTTTTAGACAATTTGATCAATTTGGCTTGGTCCCTAAGTGAGTTTGCTCTATCATGGTTGCCGAGTTTCTGCCAGATATTGGCTACTCTGTTGTAGTGATATGTGTACCCTGACGCCAGACACACCGCCTCATAGTCTTCAACATACTCTTGCATCAGCTCTTTTTGTCCCATTGACTTGTATGCATTATACAAGTCATGGTAGAAGCGCAGTAAGGCGTAGTTATATAAAGTGATTTCGTTGTGTGGAATGCGTTCCTCTCGTAATTCTGATTTACTTTGTTGTTCTATTTCTTCGCTGCTGCTTCGAATCGCTTGAAGCGTCTGCTTTATCGCACAACGTATGAAATGGGCCGCCTTCTGGTACAGGCGCTGATGAGTGAAGTGTGATGACAAGGCTTCAAGGAACATTACCTCCTTATATCGAGAATCGACACAGTTTCTGGGTACTGGGACATTGGAGTATTCCAAACAATCGGTCGTATCTAATATGTCTTTTAAATACACACATTCAGTTGAAGTGTGAAGAGCATTTGTGAAGTTACACTCACAAACCATATCCATTTCATATGTCACTAATCCTATGAGATCACCAAATTCATCTCCAGTGACCTCCAGAAAGAATTGTTCAAAACCACATTCTAAACCCTGGATGGTTGGCTGGGTATCAGCTTTAAAATAGAAAGCTTCTTCCAGTGACTTCTTTGCATTCTTGAACTGGCTGCAAAGGATTTGAACACGATAATAAAGTGAATAGTTCCTGAGAAAACATTCTACAAATGACCGACCCAGACTCTGATGCTTTCTATATTTGTTGATGTCCTCCAGTGTTCTGTTGAGAAGCCCAGTACCACATATGTCGTAATGATCACTTAGCATCACAAGCGCAGAAACGGGAAAAGTCCGCAGTGCGTACAATCGTTGTCGGAGGGCACACAAGTGTCTCTTGCTGAAATGGTCTATCATGTTGTTTGCAGAAATGAAGTAATTTGGCAAGATTCCCAAGCGAAGACAGGCAACAAGTCGATGAAGAAGAAACAGTAGACAGCCAGCGGGATTCCAACGCCACAATTCGGAGGCAAGTACCTCGCATGTTGTGTACATCACCGTCTTAAGATGTGTAGTCGTCAGTCGGACAGGTAAATTTCTTGTGTGAAAATCCACCAGAACTTTGAACACTCTGAAACAGTACTTCTGTTCTTCAGATAACGCTTCTCGAGCGATTCGTATCTCAGTCGCTGGAAACACCCATTGCCATTCTGCCTCTGGGTAACTACTGTGTGGATGAGATTGGTTGATCAAGAAACATTCGTCCTCCTGTGCAGATTCCAGAATTTCTTCTTGTGGCCATTTCGCTGGCCGCTCACGTGTGAACCAGTCTTTAGCTGATTCCGGCCAGATCTTAGAACGTAACCCCATAAATATTGTTTGAGTTTTATCCTTCGATGTTGGGTGTAAATGGTACATGGAAAGATTCATTTTTGATCTGAGGAGTTCTGACACTTTTTTGTCTGCATTTACACTTATTTCAATTCGAACATAACCTGGGCATGTGTGTTGATCATCAATAACGTACATAATATCACTGTCCGTATCATCACTTGTTCTTTGAAAACACAATGGTCTGTCATTAATACTGTAGCCGATTATCTTTGGGATAGGAGGAATATCAGATCGAACAGAATCACGTCGGAAATCAACTACGGTGGTTGAAAGTTCTTCAACTATGCTTCCAAAATGCTGTGATGCAAACGTAGAATTATCCTCTCTCCCAAATGAAGCATACTGGTAGATGGCGTTCTCAGCAGGAAAGGTATGGAGATATCTTGACTCTATCAGCATGGTCATGATATGAGAAAGATGAGCCATAGGACACAAGCTCAAAATGTCGATAGCAGATCTATTTCGCACTAGTTCTTCAATATCTGAAAGACAGAAAGGGATGCATGCATCACACCTTAGCGAAATGATAAGCAATATATCTCATCACATCATATACTGTATATATATTTTAGGGGGTGATCTATCAAAGTGCAATTTTCACTCAAATAATTGAGCTGCGATATGATTGCGCTTATACTGTTTACAGTGCAATTATTGGAGGTGTGTGACTTAATGATCGTCATAAATTTGCATAAATTTGCATAATTTTCTGTGTCGAACACAGGTCATTTACCATGTGCATAGCTGTACATATTATGTTTAACTTCAGGTAAAACTGAGATATATATGTACTAAGATCGACCTAATCTATCCATATTAGACTATTTGTAGGTAAACATCATCAATTACCACATTATTGACCAGGACTTTTGAATGGTATGAAAAACTTAGTAAGAAAAAATGTTCCCATGAAACACATATCCTACACCATAGTTTTTCAATGAAAAATCATTCACTAGAATTTTCAGTTTTTTGATGGAAAAGGATTTCAATGATTCAATTAAATATTATGTCCTACAGTGATTTTCAGTGAAATATTATGTCCTACAGTGATTCTCAGTGAAATATAATGTCCTACAGTGATTTTCAGTGAAATATTATGTCCTACAGTGATTTTCAGTGAAATATTATATCCTACAGTGATTCTCAGTGAAATATTATATCCTACAGTGATTCTCAGTGAAATACCAATTTCCCAACCAATGAATTATTTATGAAATACCAATTTCCTACAGTGATTCTCAGTGAAATATAATGTCCTACAGTGATTTTCAGTGAAATATCATGTCCTACAGTGATTCTCAGTGAAATATAATGTCCTACAGTGATTCTCAGTGAAATATAATGTCCTACAGTGATTTTCAGTGAAATATGATTTCATACACTAGGAATCTTCAGTGAAATCTTAACTTCCTAAACAATGATTTTTATGAAATACCAATTTCCTAACCAATGATATCTCAATGAAATATTGATTTCCTAACACATTTTTTTTTAATGAAGTATCATTCCCTAAACAATGAATTTTCAATTTTCTGATGGAAAAAGATTTCCTTAACCATGACTTTTCAACGATTCAATAAAATACTATTTCCTAGTGATTCTCAGTGAAATATAATGTCCTACAGTGATTTTCAGTGAAATATAATGTCCTACAGTGATTCTCAGTAAAATATAATGTCCTACAGTGATTCTCAGTGAAATATCATGTCCTACAGTGATTCTCAGTGAAATATAATGTCCTACAGTGATTCTCAGTGAAATATAATGTCCTACAGTGATTCTCAGTGAAATATAATGTCCTACAGTGATTTTCAGTGAAATATAATGTCCTACAGTGATTCTCAGTAAAATATAATGTCCTACAGTGATTCTCGGTGAAATATCATGTCCTACAGTGATTCTCGGTGAAATATCATGTCCTACAGTGATTCTCGGTGAAATATCATGTCCTACAGTGATTCTCGGTGAAATATCATGTCCTACAGTGATTCTCAGTGAAATATCATGTCCTACAGTGATTCTCAGTGAAATATCATGTCCTGCAGTGATTTTCAGTGAAATATTATGTCCTACAGTGATTTTCAGTGAAATATTATTTCACACACTAGGAATCTTCAATAAAATATTGATTTCCTAACCTGTGATATTTCAATGAAATATTAATATTTTAACCCAAATTTTTCTATGAAATATTTTCTCCTAACCAATGAACTTTTAATGAGATATTGCTTTCCAACATCATGAGCTTTCAATGAATTATCATTTTCCAAACCACGAGTTTTCGATAAAATATCCCTTTTACACCAGCTACATCCTATATTTAAGGTTTCAAACTTTACGCCCATAACTAACATCACTGATGAGTCCTAAATATAAGGATAAGCTGTGTAATACAGTTTAATTTGCATTAATTGGCACTAAACTATATCTAATTCTAAATTTGTATTAGAATGTGCCATTGACTTGTGTGATAATATTTTATACAAATTTTAAATCATACACAGAATAAGGCAGCTAAGAATACCAACATATGGAATACATAGTCCTTTTATAAAGATTACCAGACTGACATTTATATGAATTAGTATTACGCTAGGTAATTAGCTGAGGCAAGAATACATGATGCCACTACTATATTTTATATCAATAATAATATACAACATTTATATAGTGCCCTATATAATTTCACAAATTACTCTAAGGCACTTTACAGTGCATGTAAAATTTAGTCATGGTATCAATAATACATTAAACATCTACATATTCGTATGATATGCTGATCATTGTGTCCGCATGATCACCAGAAAAATGCCACATGTATGTACATTGTGTAAGTAGACTTTGTATGCTTATATCCCATTATACAGTAGAACCCACTTAATGTCACATCTGTTGATGTCATTTTCTGGTTAATATCACATTTTCTTGAAACATCAATTTTTTCCCTATATATTATTCTATGTAATCAAACTTCTGATAATGTCACTTATTTTATACATTTGACCTTACATATGAAAAAATGGGACATTTTGTTCTTATCATAGATGATATATTCATTGTGTATATCTACTCTGATGGGAAGTCCATGAAAATCAACTGTAAACATAGAAGTCTCTTTTATTTTTTGTATCTGCATCAAACTGTATCATATAATGGGCATCTACATATCTTATACTTGTTTCACTTATTTGCTAACCAAGTAAAAAAATTCATCACCGTAGTCTGTCCCTTCACAAGTGTACCAATATTTGTACATGATATGGTAAGGAAATGTTGTTTTACCCTTGTAGAAATGCTCACAATTCGATATTGATTCTAACTAACACTATAAAAAAAGAAATTAGGGGCTGCAGGACATGTCCAACAGAACCATTAAACCTTGGGGCAGCTGATGTAATAAGATTAAGAAATGAAAAATTAAATCAAATGAAGAAACACCAACCAGTACTAACTGTAAATAAGGAGTTTAAATTACGCCATTAAAACGACATCCACAGTAATACTTCTTAGTATCGCAATACATCTTTACAACAAACTTTGCATACATTGGATGATATCAAAATTTCGACCAATCAGAGGCCAGCAAATGGTATTGGTATATATCATTCTGTAAAGTCAGGAAACAGATTTCATTGTCGTGAGCATCAACTTTAAGCCATCACACCAACACATGTAATAAATTCCAGTACATTGGAACTTCACTTAATTTTTAACCAGATGCAAGAAAATGAAATGTCTGATATATAATGTCATAGTTATGTTTCTCTGTCAAAATACACCTACCATGTACATACCAAATTAAATTGAAATCTGACGATCAAATTTCGACAAATCAATGACCATTTTGAAGTTGTGAAAGTGATGTAATAGTTCTGTGTGTTATATCATAATACTCCTGTGATACCTACATTGTAACACATTAAAAGAAAACTGACAGCATGTTCACTGTGGCCAATCAAAGGGCCTTTTTTCAGTTCCCATGGTAACGTAAAGAATAATGGGAATTTATTTTCATTCCACCTAACGAGTACACACATTTCAGTACATAATAAAGAGAGGCTCATAGGGCCTGTATTTCTTACCTGGTTTGGTTTGCCTGTTTTTACTTATCTAAGGGATGTTAAAGATCTATATCTATTTCACATATTGGGCCCTGCCTCCCTACCCCAAGGGATTCAGACTAAATCTTTATACAAAACTGAATACCCTCAACCCAAGAACACTTCCATTCAAACCTAGACAAAATGCCATCATGATCTCTGTTCTAGATATCTGCTGTTGATAAAATCTATTACATGACCTTAGTTTTGAGTGCACTTTACTAAAAAAAGAAATTAATGGCTAGACATTATCACTGACAATAGGATTTTTAATTAAATTATATAAATGTGATTAAAATTTTTATTTGTGTTATATCCCTTCTTAATTTGATGTTTCTGTAACAGTTTTATGATTGAGAAAGACACAATACAACTTTTGTTGATTTAAACATAAAACCTTTTTCCTTATACACTATTGCAGTCCTGGCCCTTTTTCTCATGAGTATTTCTGTTAACATACTTAAATATTTACTTATCTGGCTTCAAATCAAACACGATGCTGATAATCATTATCTTACATTCATTTTGTTTTAAATTGTTTTGTTCATTCATAATTATTCTGTCTTTTTCGAATAATCTGTTGACATATAATTTATTGTGTTTTTTTCCCAGAAATTTTTATCTGTACCTTTAGGACACTTGAAAATTTTTATCCGTAACTTTAGGACAGTTGAAAATTTTTATCCGTACCTTTAGGACAGTTGAAAATTTTTATCCGTACCTTTAGGACACTATGTCCTCATTAGGCGTAAGATGTTGCTGACACTAGAATCAGATAGAATGGACATGACAGTCTCTGCCATATCTTTTGCTTTTTCATTTCTGCATCTTTTGGCTTCTTCCCTTAGTGTTTTTGCTTTTTCATTGTATCCCAATCTCTGCCAGATATCTGCCACATTTGGAATGAATTCAGTATAGTTTAACTGCAAACAAACGTTTTCGTAGTCCTGAATGTATGGCCTAAATTTGTCCTCTTCATGAAGAGAAGACAGACATTTAAACAAAGATTTGTATGTGACCATCAGCAGGGTACTCATAAGTGTTTTGGGGATTTCACTTTGTCTGATCAAATCCCGTTCTAAAGCAGGGTCATCTATAATATCTGGAGCTACACAACCCTCTATAAAACGTTTGGCTTTTTCAATGACTCTCTGCATCAAACAAACACCATCAGAATATTTCTTTTCCTTTTCCAAACGTTTCACAACTGGCATGATGTGAATCAGTTCCATCACAGTGTCTCCTAAGTAATTTTTGGGAATAGGTTCATCACAAAACTGTTCCAGGTCACCAATCCCCTCAATTTCCTTAAATGTAGTCATTTGAGCAGCTTCAGATCCAACTCTTTGTTGCAGTTTTGTGCCATAATGTCGGTTTAA